GAATACATACATTTTTGCACACATCTGCTCTATGTGCCTGTTTGTGTAATGACCCAGACTGATTCTCTAGCTCATTCTTTCCTCTCAGTGCAAGAGTCTTAAATGGAGATGAAACTAAGTTCCAAATTTCAGTCTTCCATGTTTTTCCTGACTGAGAGTTTTGAAGAGACATATTAATCATAATGTTATCAATTGTTTGATATCTTGTATTATATTCTCCTGAATTTTCTTATTGAGACATTCTCAAAGATTGTTTTGATTATTCTTAATTTGTTATTTTTACTTCTATACTCCTGAATGTTTCATTCTTTTGAGACTCTACTGCTATTTTAGCCTTCGTTTGTATGAATTTTCATTTTGTTTTTTATTCCGTAAGTATTGTGCCAAGAGTTGGAGAGTTGTTGAGCAAAGCCGAAGTTTCAGGTAACTAGACAGTAGTCTGTTTTGTCCCATGTGATGTCTTCATAATATGGCTTCCTTATTTTAGCTGTGTGACCTTGAAAATTTTCTTAATTTCTCTGAAAAATCTCTTAACTTTTTAAACTTCTAAGCTTCAACTTCCTTTTCTGTAAAATGTGACTTATAACTTTCCCAAGGTTTTGTTTTTTAAATAGATATCAATAACGTATGTAAAATATGTAACACAATGCTTAGCACATAATAGACACTAAATAAATATCAATTTCCTATTATCATATGGCTAACTCAGAGTGTGTGGTCATCTGAAGAGCTGGGCTGGAATCCATGCACCATTACTTAGTAAGTGGATAAAAAGGGAAAGTTATTTGATGTTTATAAAAGTCATTTGGGAACAAAGTTGAATCTTCTTTTCTTTAAAGAAACAGCAAGCAAGACATTTAGGATATCAAGACATTGTTTGCCATTCAAAACATGTAAATCATGTAACATTCAGGTATTTCTACTCTAGTTTTAGCCCTCTGCTTATGGGAAGTCACCTAACTCTTATTGTGCCACCGATTCTTTAGGTGTTGGGGACATTTAAGAGTTTTGCCTGAAACAGACCACCTGCTTTTAAGGAGGGTCTACTGGCCCTTTTGTAACATTTACTAGGTCAGAATTAAATGGCAGTGATGACCACAGATCACTTATTTTTCTCACTTGAAACAGGTTTAGTGAACAAATATCTCTAGAATTTTTAGCAATAATCTTAAACCACAAAATTTGGCTTCTTCTGAACAGAGACTTTTTCCCCCACAGAAAATGTGCAAGCTTTAAACATCCCATCTGCAATAAAGAAAGTGAAAATGTATCCCTTGAACAAAGGTGTAGGTCTTAGTGTGGCTTTTCTTAGAACAAAAGACCAGTCACAGTATATTAAGTTCATTTGTTTCCCAGGAGGAATAAAGCACCGATAGTTGTAGGGTGAGGACAAAGGCCTTTATGGTTGTCAAAGAGGAGACCGGTGGGCAAGTTCTTTAAGTTCTTTAAACCTCAGTTTTCTGATTTGTAAAATGAAGATAATGATAGTGACATTGTGTGGAGTCAGTATGATAACGAGAGAAAAACTCTGGTGCCTGGCACACAGTAGATAATCACTAAATGTTGGTTAACTTTTATTAGAAGTAATTCTAGTTTAAAAAATTATATATAGTATATACATACTATATACTATATACAGTATGTATAGACTATATAGTATACTAATAGCATATATTAGTATATAATAATATACTATATATAGTAGTATATATTAGTATATAATAGTATACTATATATAATATACTAATAGTATATATAATATACATTAATTATATTATATATAATATTATATATACTAATATAATATATAATGTATTTTATATATACTAATAGTATATATAATGTATACTATATAATAGTATATATTAGTATATAATAGTATACTATATATAGTATATTAATATACTGTACATAAGTATATAGTATACTATATTTAGTATATATAGTATTATATACTATTATATATACTTATAATAACCCACAACCATGTATTTAGTTATGTGAGGTAATACACATACTTACTCTTTGCTTTCTATATTTTCTGTTATGTGTAGCCAAAATATATCTTATTGTACACACCTGTCTTTAAAGATTTCAAAATATAATGAATGTCATGACTAACATCATGACTAACATCAAATAAACCTAATTTTGAACTTGAAAGATATATATATATATGTTTACTTTGATCACACAGTTCTATCAGTGTAATATATACTTAGTATATATAATACTATATACAATATATTGTATATTATATATTATATATACTATATATTAAGTATATATAGTATATGTAATATATACACTATATATTGTATACTATATATTATAGATGTAATATATAGTATGTTATATGTTATATATTACGTATATGTAATATATACTATAATATATATACTATTATATATTAAGTATATATTATATACTATATATGTGTATATATACTATATATGTGTGTGTGTATATATACACTAAATATTATATAGCTACCAGTAACACCACCTTTTGGTTTACAGTAAGTTTCTAGGGTAGGTCATAAATTTTTAAGTAGCTCAGAAACATAATTTGACATATACAGTTTTAAGATTATGAGATATATTACATTAAATATTTATGTACTTAAGATGATAAAGGGTTGACTGTATATGTTTTGATTATATATGTTTGTCATGAAAACTCATACAGATATGTCATACAAGTATGACAAGTAATAATATTTAAAGGTTGTTGCATAATGTGTGATTTTATTAAATGATGAAATTATTTTTGGAATTCATGTATTAGCATAAATTATATACTTAATAAAAGAGAAGTGATATTGTCACTGCTTCAAAATTGTATTTGGAGCCTATTTGTAAGCTGCCTAAGAATTCTCTTAATTTTTACAGATATATCTCATTTTTTGAGCAAAAATATTTAAGTTTGGCTTTTAGATGTTTTCAGACTATTTTAAATAAAATATTGAATATTCTGGGGAAGTCTAAAGATGTTTCAAAGGTGGATTTTAGAGAAGTAAAATTATCAAATAGCCTTAGGTTGAATTTTTTTGAAACAAAAAATTGCCACATTTCAGTGTATTAGTTTTGGTGTGTATAAATGTACACATGTATAACAAGTTTTATAGTTAATGTACTAAGATGACATTTTATACTTTATATACAGTTAATGTATTTTGATAAAAGAGGGAAGCTTTCCTTTCATACTTCTATTAGCAGGATTTAAAATATTAATTTTTATTCTTAGCCCAAGTTTGATACAAAGAAAAAATGAGCAGAAAGAATAAATGATGTTAAAAAATTATTTCTATCTCACATGAATTATTATTCCTGAATTTCTTGAATCTTTTAGCACTCTTTTGTATGTTACAAATTTATATCTAAGTTCTTACTCCCATTGATATGAATATCATATATTCCTCAGTGATACACCAGAAGCAAGCTATTAAACAAACCATAACACTAATAAAACATTTACTCTTCTTTCTAAATAAAGAAAAAATAACCAATACTGATAATCCTAATATTGGAGACATGGTTTTAAATAAATTTTATTCATCCTGCTTTATGCTAGAAGAGAAAAAGTTGATGTTGTCATATGGATTTCATTAGATTTCAGTGAGGTTTATTTATTTATGACTTCCTCAGATGAGGTCTCTTCCATCCATAGCAGTCACTATCTCAGAAATGGTTTTTTAAAGTAGATACTGAAAAAAGATCTATGGATTTGTTTTTAACTAAGATTAAAATGAACCATATGTATATATATGTGTGTGTGTGTGTGTGTATGCTAGATATATATATAAAATATCAACAGCTAATTAATTTAAAACTAACCATATCTAACTTAGGCATCTTTTTTTAAAAATAAGAAACCATACCAATTTAACATCAAATAGTATTGAAATATCTGTCCTTTAAGAGAAATATTCAAGATGGTAGGGATCAAGTGGTGGGAGCAGATTTGATTTTACATCATTTTTTTCCATGTGAACATTCTTTTTTTGGATTACAAATCACTGAAGACAGATACAGTCATCTGTACACTGTTTCAGGAAGATATTTCCTCTCTTCTGTTTCCTATTTACAATTCCACTGGGTTCATAAAATGGTCAGATGCTACAGAGCCATGAACAAACTACAGTGCTTTTAATAGAGCCATTCATCTGCTCCTTTTGAAGGTTAGTGCTTTCTCTCAAGGGAGGGTTCTCAGATAATAAGAGGAAAATGAATGCCAGTTGAGCACCTGTAATCAAATTACTCTTAATTCCCTCAACTCTTGTCAGATATTGAGCTCCTCATATTGTTCCATAGGTGGGCATTTTATAGACCCCCGTGGTGTAATGCAGTTAGTTTCCTTTCCTGCTTCCCTTTCTCTTTCCTATTCTCTAGCCATCATCCATCATGACTGGGTAAATCCTGTCAGACAGAAAGTCCCAGTCATTCAAACAGTCAGATACTGCGCCAGCCTGGTCTACACTTGCACCTGTCACTTCCCGGCATTCAGCTTGTGAGGAAGGGAGCCAAAGAACGTTTATCGAATGGATGCGGGCAACATGCCCAGCATGTCAACAGGCATGTAGCCTCGGCCATGGGCCTGGTAGGATGCTACTGGTCCTGAAAAGACTCACAGTCTGCCCCACCCCCGTTCCCCAAAGAAGGATTGATCTATGTAAAATGCTTGCTGCTTCAAACCTAGAGAAAACCATAATTTAGTCCAGACTCTCAAAGACCCAACCTGTCACATGTAACAAAACAAGAGCAGTACAAAGCTCTGAGCTTGAGTCAGCAGGTCTATAACTCATCTTGCTATAAAGTCTGCAGAGGGAATTTGTAGAATGGGGTGAAGTGTTCCATTTCATTTGTGCTGTATTGCTTGGGATCTGAGATGAATTCAGGATGCAGCCACAGACATGCTTGGAATTTCATTGATTTTATTATGATAGTTAGAACTTAGATATGCTTTATGGTTTTTGTAACCTTTTATTGAATATTTTTCAGGCATAACACATGGAAACTAATGGTGTTCTACAGTTGCTGAGGCAAGTGTAACACTAAAGGTATTGCCTTTTTGGTTCTTTGTCTAAATAACTTTTACTCTGAAAAATCCAGTCAGGGACATATGCAAACATACAAATCTAAGAATTATGGCATTGTAATGAAGATAATGCTTAATCTTTATTCCAAAACTACGTACAATAAGAAAACTCATTTAGCAGTTATGGAAAAAATGAATGTTACTCTTGAAAATGTCTACCTTACTGGTTTGTTACATGGACAAGTTAAAACATTCCCCATCAGAAATATGTTTCCTGTTTTTTTTTGTCCACTCTAGGTAACAGAATCTCAGTCTCTCTCTTTCTCTCTCTGTCTCTCTCTCTTTCTTTCTTTCTCTCTCTCCCTCCCTCCCTCCCTCTCCCTCTTCCTCTCCGTCTCTTCCTCCCCCTCATCTTCTACTTACCTACCTACCTACTTAGCTACCTACCTAGCTACCTATCTTACACACACACACACACACACACACATACACATACACATACACGGTTACTAAGGGCCAGGTACTGTATTAAGCTCTAAATAAATACAGTGAATGAAAAAGATTCCATATCTGTGCTTCTTGCACTTATGGTCAGGTGTTTTCTTAAGCATATTTACCAATGATGGAAAAAGATACACACACATATATGTACACTCACTGTTTTCCATACTATTCTCTGCCATGAGAGCAATGCATATATTTTACTGTAATTTCTTTTATATAGACCCTCACACATACATTCTAACATTGATATGCAGTTTATTCTCCTGGTGGACCTGGTATTAATTCTTTGGTAGAACACATAAGGCAATACTATCTTTGCTGTACAGATCTGTATGTTACATACTCTTTATTTCATCACATTTTCCTGGAATGCTCACTTCTTGTTTCAAGGCCCTGTTTGATCTGTGTTTTGTTTTTTGCATTTGTTTAAAGATCTAAGACTTTGTCATTTAATTGCAAAGAAAGACATTAATTCTTTCAGAATGTTAAAAAATGCTAGATAACCATTGATAGATTCTTACTGATGCCTTGTGTCTCTAATCAAATGTTTTAGAATCTTTTATTGCTCATGAACCATATGATAAGCATATAAATATTTTTCACCCTCTGTGAAAGACACAAGTGGACATCTATCCAGTAGACAGTTCCTCCGTGTTACTTGCAGACAGATACCTGCTTTTGTTCACCCTTTTGAGTGTTCATGTAAGTCTAGAGAAATAGCTGCAGGGGACAATCTTTATTGGTCCTAGCTGATCAGTGGCTGTCTTTGCTACAACAGTTGATTGCTCAAGGCATGATCAGGTGGGATAATTCTGGCCAGTGAAAAAGTCCGGAAAGATTTTCCTCATTTCTAAAAGTGGTAAGTGAGGAGGTTATTTCTTTTTCTTCTTCTTGACATTGCTATCTGCATGTGGTATCTGGAACTGAAATAGCCATCTGAGGACCTTGAAGTGAACAAGCCTAAGAGAAGTCAAAACTCTGGTGAACTAAAGAAGACAGAGAGAGAATCGATGTCTTTGAAAATGTGTTTGTTTTTCCAGCCTTAGAATTACCCCACAACCATGTATTTAGTTATGTGAGGTAATACACATACTTACTCTTTGCCTTCTATATTTTCTGTTATGTTTAGCCAAAATATATCTTACTGTATACACCTGTCTTTAAAGATTTCAAAATATAATGAATGTCATGACTAACATCAAATACACCTAATTTTGAACTTGAAAGAAATATATATATATGTGTGTGTGTGTTTACTTTGATCCCACAGTTCTATCAGTGTAATAACTGAGACTATTTGCTTGCCGTGAGCGTTTTCTTCCTAGGTTGTGTGGAAGGTAAACAAGATAGATCACTTTCAATAACACATCTGTGTTCTTTTTTGTTTCCAACTACATGTGTACTACTTTCTATACTCTTCTAGCTCCTGTCCTCTTGGAGAATTATAGCTCTAATATCAGGGATCCAGATCTGTTGTTTCTAGCCCTGTGGTGATGAGATGAATGCTTTCAACTTCCTTTGATAGGAAATCACATTCCCCTAGGAATCGAGCTGAAAACAGGACTTTCATGTTCATCTCCCAAACGCTCAACACATATACCTCTTAACTGAACCTGTGTAAGCTGATGGCTTGTGGTGATCGCCTTTCCCACCATACAGAAGGACTGAGATCAAATCAAAGAAGCTGGTATCAAGATGGAGAGTTAGAGTTCTGTGGATATTTTTGAACTCATAAATTCAGCTGTCTCTAGAGTTCAGTTTACTCATTAGACTTTTTTCAATTACATAGGCTGAGTTCCAGTTATTGTGATAGGCAGAATAATGACTCCTCAAATATGTTCACACCTTAGTTCCCATATCTGTGAACATATTACATTTTATGGCAAAAGGGACAAGCACCTTAAAATAGAGAGATTATCCTGGGTTTTATTTGTAGAACTAATCTAATCACATGATTGATCCCTTAAAAGCAGAGAACCTTCTCTGACTAGAGTCAGAAGATTCACACGGAAGAAGGGGCAAGTTAGATTACAAGCCTGTGCTACAGAGCAAGACCGGTCTCTAAAACAAATAAAATAAAATTTTTAAGAAAGTAAATCTGTATTGCTTTAAACTGCTAAATTTGTGGTAATCAGTCACAGCAGCAAAAGAAAACTAATATAGCTACTGAGAAGGATTTTGGGCTCTTTCAAACAAAAGTGTCTTGATGAAAATAATGGTATGTTTTGGCCCAAATATTATTGCAATATTGGAAGAAGACACACTGAATTGTCTTTTGAGTATAAAGTAACCATGGTCTTGAAGAAAAATAAATTTTATTCTTATATATATTTAAGTTTTTAGAATGTTGTGGTTAGTTTTCGTTTGCCTCTTGATGGCAGAAAAGCAAATATCTTGAGAACAAGAACAGTGCTCTGGGTTTAAAATAAGTGAACTCTATTGAGGGTAGAAATAGAAAAAAATAATACGTTTGGAGCACTGGTTTGACAATGGAATTGCTGCAGGAATGACTGAGCACATTAATAGGTCAGCGGCGAGTTAATCAGAAAAGACTTACAGGCTCACATACAATGCCTGAGCAGGTGAAAGGCCTGAGGAAAAGAAGGTTGATGAAAAGGGATTGGGCAGAACCAAAGGAAGACAAGACCTCTCAGCCTGATTAGGTGGCTTTGGAGGGAAGATTTTAAACATAGAAGTAAGGGATAAAAATGAAACTCTAGGAAACTGGATATGTAACCCCAAAGCTGAAAGAAATAAGATCCAGGGAGAAAATTCCAGCTACGTCAAGTTAGCTTTAAATGTAGCAAAACAAAGTGTTGCCAACCAGGGAAGCCCACCTGAGCTTTGAGACCGAGGTTTTCCCTGGGGTCAGTCACAAAGACACACAGCTACTCAGGCTGCAGCCCTTCAGAGCAAAACTAGGTATTCACCATAAGTCACATAAATCATCTCACCAAACTGATACTTCTTGGTCCAAAGCTTCAAGCATACAAAAGCACAGTTATAAGGTAGAATATTCCAACGGCTCAGAGATCATCTCCCAGGAGCTGGCCAGGCCTTTCTTGGGAATGTGGAGCATTTGAGGAAGCCAAGCCTGCTGAGTTAGCTCTTTTCTGCGTAGGGCCCTTGCAGTTGTGGATCAGGGCTCTTGGGTTGTAAGGGCCTATGAAGTTATACTAAGAGTGATGGGACATTTTTTATAAGCAAGTTCACCAACGTGCTGTGATGGCATCAGAAGACACTGCAGCAAGATCTCTCTCTAAGGGAGCCACATACTAACAGAGGAAGTTCCTTTCTGTACAGAGAAAAAGTGTGCTCCATGGGGCCATAGCCTCTGCCCAGGCTGGAGTCCATAATCCTGACTCTTACCACCAGCCCAGAGCTCAGTTTCTCAAATGCCTCAGATGCCTATGCAAACCCATGCAGCAGCCTTAAAGGTCGTGGAAACTTCGTCATCTCTCAATACTTCCTCTCCTTTTTCATGCAGTGACTCACATAGAATTTGATAATATTTCAAACATGCTGAACAGAAAAAGCCACTCTCAGTCCAAGGAGACCAGTTTAAGGTCCTCCAGATGCCTCATCCCAGCCTAACCAGCCAGGGGCTGAGAGAATTCTGAAGTTATGCATCTGCTAAATATTAGCAGGTTCAGAAGCTTATAGCATGTTCTGAGGTTTGCCTTCTATCACTCAATATGCTAACTCCTATCCCGTGAAGAAAAATCACTTATTCTTTCTCTGAGCTATGTCCCTTTTTAGCAAACTCATCTTCCTCACACAAAGGAGAAAATTCAATTTTTCCCCCATTAGAAAACAATATTTTCCTGCTACTAGGTTGATTAAAGAAGTAGTAGATTCTATCTTTGGAATATCCATTCCCCTGGAAAAATGACACAGGCAGAGGTGGGGGATAGAAATAGGCTAAATTGACTTTACTTTGGGGGATTCATGAAGGATCATGTGTTTATTTTTGTTCTGGCTTAATACTGGGACTACAGCAATCAAAGAACCTGTTTCTACCATCTTCAAGGAGTTCATGTTCTATTGGGGGTGATGAAGGATAGGAGAAGATTAACAGTTAAAATAAGATGAGTGCTCCTACGGTAGTGACCAAAGGCCAAAGAACCCAGACTGTGACATTCAAGGGCGGGGGAAGGTGTCCTGTTTTAGAAGGGGGAGAGAGTAGAAGAAAGAAAGCCAAGCAAACTACATGTCCCACTTCTTCTGTCTGCTTTGTTCAAGCCAAGCCCCCAGCTGAATGGATGGTGCCTGGCCACATTGAGAATGGGTCTTCCTCTCCCAGTCCACCGACTCACATTCATGTAGGGCAGGCAATCCCCACGTTGGGGCTTAGTGTGAGAGGGTTCTTTGCTTCACCCAGGAAAGAATTCAAGGGTAGTCAGTGGTAGAAGCAAACAGTTTTATTGAAGTGGCAGTGTTACAGCTCAGGCAGTGTTACAGCTCCAGGACTGCTCCTGCAGAGCAGGACTATCCCATAGGCAGTGTGCTGACAGCAGCAGCTCAGGGCAGTTCTGCAGTCATATTTATACCTACTTTTAATTGTATGCAGATTAAGGGGCAGTTTGTGCAGAACTTTCTAGGAAACAGGTAATAACTTCTGGGACATCGGGTCATTGACATGGAAAAACGTAACTCCCAGGAGTTGCCTTGGCAACGGTAAACTGACAGGGCACACTGGTAGGCGTGTCTTATGGAAAGCTGCTTCCGCCGCATTCCTGTCTTAAGCTAGTCCTCACTTTGGTCTGGTGAAGGAGCCCCGGGTATGGAGTCAAGTTCTGCCTCCTACCTCAGCATGTCAGACTCTCCTGGCAACACCCTCACAGACACACCCATAAAAGATGCTTTACTAGGCATCTAAGTATCCCTCACTCCTATCAAGCTGACACCTAATATTAGCCATCACAGATAGTAAGCACAAAACTACTGTATGGGAGGAAAGATATCTACCTTTTCCTTGTCTAAAACAGCAAATTACATTGCACACAGTTTTCCTTGTCTAAAACAGCAATTTACATTGCACATAGTTAACAAGTTACTTTGGATTTCCTTTCTAGTCCTAGGCTTTGGAGTCTTGGCAGCTTGAAAAAGATAAGGCTGAGGCATCTTTGAAGATATTTACTGTCTATATGCACTGAAGAGCCACTTACAGTACAGCAACCCAGGACCCTGCCCAGCTGAGGAGGAATGCAGCTGTGATCATGATTTATAAGCCTTAGCCTCTGCTTCTCCAAAGCAGCATTCTAAGTTCTGCTCTCAAATTTAGCCTCCTCCAAGTCCAACATGTGTTGGAACTATTTGCATAGAATGACAAGAGTGGGAAAAGTCAGAAGAAAATGCTGGAATATTATCTCTGGGCTGGCATGCATTTCTAAGTCACAGAGATGTATGTGCAAAAATGTGCCTTTTAAAATTTCTCTAACTTAATTTAGTTCCTGAGGCCATTTTAGCTGATGGATAGAAAACATAATTTTGTCAATTCAGGGTAAGCTTAAGCTTATTCAAACTTATTCAAACATGCATTTAAACTCAGTCAATTCTTCATTTTTAGAATATTTTGCAGAGCTTGTATTAGCAACTTCATATTTTTTCCCCTTTCTCTTCCTTTTGTCTGTGGTGGTCTCTAAGTCCAGAAAGGAGAGTGGAAGGGGCCTGTATATACTTAGCCTTAGTGGAGGGGCTGCTCCTAATCACCCTTGGAATCCTTGGACACCGTTAAGATGTAGCTCACTTCTTTTGTTTCTTATTTTCCTGCTGTAATTCCCACTACTCAATTCTGAGGTTCACATGTTCTGCATTTTACTGATTGATAGCTCAAAATAATATTCTATTAAAAGCAGTATAGATCAAGTAAATTAACTTGCCATTGTGACTTGACCCTTCATTTTATGGGATTCCTTCTCACTCCGTTGTCAACTCTAGGCCATTTAGAAATGTATCCCCAGGAGCACTGAAACACTCATTCTTGACTGCATGTATGATATTTCAATGCCCTCTCTTTTCCATACCCAGCAGCTGCAGATCTGTAGATTGGAAATGCATTGATCCTACTTTCAACCAGGGAAATTCTGGAAAGCATTCTGAGTGAAGACTGGTTAGGGTGTTCTGGGAGCACAGTCTAGTTTATACAGAGTAGCTTCTGCACTCTGAGTGAAAGCACTCTAACCTTGCCTCACTGTGTGTTC